CTGGGAACCACAGGGAGCCCTTCTTGCCACCCAACAGGAAGAGAGCAGGTGGCTCTGGCCTCCCCCGGATTTGGATCCTGGTTTCCAGTGCTAAGAACACAAAGGTAAGTTTGCAGCTTCAGAGAGAGCTATGCAGACAAGGGAAAACGTGCTTCATAGCACGAGCACAGAGTATTTAAGAGTGAGCTGCTCACACACTGAGGAGAATACCAGGAAAGCAGGATAAATCCTCCAAATGAGCATTGGATATTTGCCTTTCCTTTAAAGATTATACTGTTTTTATCACCATGGTGTCTTGAATTCACTGGTTTGGGTTGGAAAAACCTCACTCCAAATGGACAGAAATGACAAGAGACTTGTTCCATCTGACGCGGTGGTGAGTTAGTTCTATCTTGTCCTCATCTGGTGGAACTGAGAATCTTTATTTTCTAGACATGTAAATTTCTGTTGTCTTTGCTAAAATTTTGAGACTGGCTAAAATATTTATGGAATAAACAAAAACTCTAAAATGTGCCTTTTCCCCAGAAAACCATGAGAAAATACATTCCATCTGCTAATGTAACATCTCGAGATAGAAACAGAATAATGGTTAGCCTCCTTGCATTACACATTTTTTGTTTTTAAATTTTGAATACAGTACCTGGTTTTGTTACTGTTAGTTTGCTTAGGAACACTGTGTTTGCTTGTTTTGTCCTTTCTCTCCTGGGGCATGCATGAGTGTTTCAGTCTGCAGGGCCCCGAGGCAATGGACAAGCCACTGGTTGGGAGGGTGGCCTTTCCCTGGTTTCTAGCTTAGCTTTCTAAAGCCCTGTGTCATTCTTGTCAATTCAGTTCACAAAATAATCCCACATAAGCCCTTGGGGAAGTCCTTTTCTGAAATACTTTGAGCTATCAGAGGGGCTCATTAGACACCATGTTGGCTTGCCTAGAGTTCTTAGATATCAAGGTCAAATGGTTTAAAAGATGGTGTGGGAGGAAAAGCTACCAAAAAGCTCACCAACGGATGTGGCACAACCTTTTTTTTTTTTTTTTTTGTAGTTATTTTTTCTTCCTCAGACATGGATCTTAAGAATGTATTACCATACTTTGCTCTTCTTCCCTAATAAACTGTTTTGTTCTGTTCCCAGTGTCTCATGCAAATATCTGAAACAAAGTGGGTACTCAGTGAGGATTTGTAGGATTGAATTGACATGCCCTTGTGGATGGGGAGGGGTGGGTGCCCAAAGGCCGGACAATTCATCAGGGTTTTGATAGCTCAAATGTGCTGTGCCTCTTTAAGGCTGACTGTATCCCCATTTGCTTGCTGCGTCGGACATGAAAGATGCCTGGGCAGGGAGACCTGAGTATGTTTGCCAGAGTAGCACTCTAGTCCTTAGTCTTACAGGCTCAGAGTGTTGATTTTATCAGTGGGTTTTGGATTCTCAGGGACCCCAGATGTGATTCCAGGCTGGGGGTAGGGCAGTGAAATGGAAAGGGGCCTTCGACTCGGGGCAGAAGAGAATTTGGTGTGATCCCTCACCATAAGGCCATGCTCAACACCAAGACGATCTGTGATCTAGAGATGGGTGGGAGAGTAATGCTGAGCTAGTTGGGCAGAGGAAGGACTGATGGTAGGAAAAGCTGCTGTTACAAGTTCTTTCGTTTGCTGTGTGCAGGGGAACTGCTAGCACAATTCCTTTGACAACATATCGCAGTGGGTAGTTGTACTGGGTGCTACTCTTTGGATGCAAGTAACTCAGATCAGCTGAAGGTAACTGAAGAGAAAGAGGGACTTATGATAAGGCCATTGGACGGTCTTGTGGACAGGAATTCAGCCAGGCCTCAGGAAGGGCCTGGAACCCAGAAGTGAAAGATTGTCAGAAACCCATACCAGACCCCCTCTCTCTCCCATGTCTTCACTTCTCCGTCTTCTCTCTCCCTCCTTCCATCTCTCTCCCTCCCTCCCTCCTACCTTTCCCCCCTTTCTTTCTTTCTTCTTTCCTTTCCTCCCTTGCTTCCTTGGCTTTCGGAATCAGAAAGAATACAGTTTGAATCCTGGCTCCACTGTGGCTGGCTCTGTGATCCGTGACAAATCACTTAATTCTTAGTCTCCGTTTCCTCATGGAAATGGGGGTGGAAACTATGTACCTCACTGAATTATAGTGAGGATTAAATGAGAATATAAAAGCAAAATATCTGACATTCAATTAATATGAATTATATGAAACACTGGAGATAAGGTTAGATTGGGGACTTTTACGGTGGGCAACACAGCTGCTGATGGGAGCAGTAGCTAATCCAAACACTTGCAATATGGCCAACACTCAGTTTCAGAAGGATGGCTTCTTTTGAAAATGATCTGGGGTAGCCTGGGCTCTTCTTCTACTTCTGCATACTCCTGGAAGAGAGCTTCTCTCAAGTTATGAGAAGGTGGGACCAAGCACAGAGGAGGTGATGAGGAGATGGTCTCAGCTAGTCCAGAGCTGGGAGGTATGCACCTACCTGAGTGTTAGCTACATTATATCTCCCTACTCCTATAGTCTTGTATAGTTCTCATCTCTATTTGCATATATCTTGTCATTTTGTATTAAGTTTTATTTGTTTTCCAATCTGAGAATCCACAGTACTTCAAATAGGAAAGAACATATTGTAAAAACATGCTGGAAAACTCTGTTTCATTTGTATTAGTCAGGAACTCTTGATTGCAAACATCAGAAACCCGACTCAAATATGAGAAAAAGTAAAGTGAATTTAACAGCTCAACACAACTGAGAAGGCCGGTTCAGAATTAACTGACTCAGGGAGTCACAGCGTTATCCGTACTGCTTCTCTACTTTTCTTGAATGCTTCCCTCCATGTGACAGGCGAAATAGTAACTCCCAAGCTTATCAGCTTAGCAATGCCAGAGTGAGCAGTGCTTTTGTATGAATCAAGCAGAAATGTCCTGGGAAAAATTCTGATTGGCCGAGCTTTGGACATAGGATCTGTGGCTGGGAATGAGGAGCATTTGATTGGCCAGGCTGGGTCACATGGCCTTTCCTGCTTATGGCCGGGGACAGGTGGAGTCACCTTAAACCATTTGAAGGTGGTTCCTATGGGAAGGGCGATCTGTTACTCGGCTTCTCTGTGCTCTTCACACCATGCTGGAGGAGGAAGATAGCAGCTTTTAACACACTGACTGCCACAGTAGAAAAAAAATTCTTTTCCCTTGGGGCCACGGTGTTTTATTACAAAACTAGAATAAAAACATCAAAAACAAAACGATCATTTCTAATTTAATGAAAAATTTATTTTTTATTGTTTTCTGTGCGTGAGTTATTAATATATACAACTTGAAAAACAGTTCTCTGTAGCAGCTAGGCTCTGCCACCACTGTTGCTTGGCTGAGTTCACGAATCTGTTGTAACCTGTAGTGTCCCTGTCACTTCTCCAGCTCTCCTCCCCTACTACGCTTTGTTTCCTGGCAGTAATTAAAACCTGTCGCTGCCATTGCTGCTGCTGCTACTGGAACTGCCACAGCCCCCTTGGTTTGGCAAAGTATTCACCTCCACAACCGTAGAGGCCAGAGCTTCTGTCTCCAAAGTTTCCTTCCTTCGTGGGTACAAAATTTGAAGATTGAATGTTATAATTGCTAGAATCATTGTGGCTTCCACTGCCTCCAAAATTTCTTGCATCATTAATTACCGAATTGGTAATGATGCAAGAAATTGAATCCATTGTAGCCATACCCACTGTCACCATATCCAGCACCACCACGGCTGCCACCAAAGCCACCACGACCACTGACGTCTCCTCCACGACCACTGGCGTTTCCAGAGCGTCTTTGATATCATTGGCTGGGGGAAGCACCAGCCATCTCCTGCTTGGACAGCACTTTCCTTACTTCACAGCTATAGCCCTTCATAGGATGGTATTTCTGAATGAGGGTCTTGTCCACAGAGTCTTGGTCGTCAAAGGTTACAAAAGCAAAGCCCCTCTTTTCACCACTACCTCGGTCAGTCATGATTTCAAATTACATCAATTTTCCCATACTGTTCACATAGTCCTTTGGGTGCTGTTCTTCAGTGTCTTCTTTAATGCCACCAACTAAGATCTTTTTCACAGGTAAGTGGTCTTTGAGAATCTTCTCTGGAGATAGCTCTCTGTGGTTCCACAACTCTTCCATCTACCTAGTGTGACCTCACGTTCTGGGCTCATCCACCTCCTGCACAGTGGCACACGTGACAAACCCAAAGCCCTCGGAGTGCTTGGTGCTCAGTTCTCTCATTACCACACAGCCTGTGAGCGTTCCCTGTCGCTCGGAATGGCTCCTCAGACTCTCATCAGCTGTTTCAAAGCTCAACTCTCTGATGAAGAGCTTCGGCAGCTGTCCAGGCTCTTTAGGAGACTGACTTAGACATGACAGCAGTAGGAAGAGAGACTTTAACGGCACTTCCTCCAAAGCACTCACGGGCGGAAAGGAGTGGGCTAACGAACTGATCTCTAACTTTATTCTTGACAGAGCTTTGTTCTCTCAAAACAGGCAAACACATCAAGACCATTTCCCAGATCTAGGTTTCTTCTCGGAGCTGTCCCAGCCCGAGGCTGCTCTAAGATGTGCTCCTTGCTCTGAGGGCTGCTGCTGCTGCTGCGTAGTTCTTCTGGGACATTCCTTTGGCAGTGTTTTGTGGCAAATACCATTTCCTAGAGTGACATTCCTTTCTTAGTGTTCTTGCATCTGCCTAGAGTTCTTCCTTCAATCACTTCCAATAATAAATTTATAAAGGCTTTCCTGTGGCCGAGTGTATACAGTCTCTTTGTAAATATTCTATTTGTACTTGAAGGAGAGGTGTGTTTTCTATTTTTTGGAAAGTAATACATACACATACATAATTCTTCAATTTGTTTATATGTACTTTTACCTTAATTTTTTCCATCTGTATTAAGGTCTCCCATTACGATTGTAGATTTGATCATCTGTCCTTCAAATCCTACCCTTTTTAACATACACATTTTGAGGCTGTTTGTCTTTTACTTTCTAGTGATGAAAGTGAAGGAGGAGAAGGTTGGGGTGGGAAAGCTGGACCCTACTAACTACAGGAGGAGATATCTGGATCAGAAAGGTAAGGTCACTTTGAGGACTTGATGCAATTCCCAGAAGGGACTGAAAATTCTTTGGGGATCCTTAAAACAGCCTTACTAGCTAGAGAATTTGGGGAGCTGGTCCCTTTCCCTGACTCACCCACAGCATCCCCTCGAAGCTTCATTGTGTCCTAAAGGTATTAGACAGAAAACTGTCACTTTGCCTGTGTGAATTAGGGCATAACTTCCCCAACACAAAATTAAACTCATTTAATTTTACAAAATCTACAAACCATAATAAATACTAAATATCAACGTTTTATAGACTCTAAAACTGGCAGCCCAGTTAAAATCAGTGCAAGAGGATATTGAGGGCTAGGTGCTGTGGCTCACGCCTGTAATCCTAGCACTCTGGAGGCCAAGGCAGGAGGATAGCTTGAGGTCAGGAGTTTGAGACTAGCCTGAGCAAGAGCAAGACCCCGTCTTTACTAAAAATATAAAAATTAAAATAAAAAAACTCAGAAAATCAAAGGAAAAAACACCATATTTGGGGGCAGGTAGAAAAATTAAAAAAACAAAACAAACAAACAAAAACACCACATTTATAAAGGAACAAGGACAAGAATTACATCAGACTTTTTGTCAGAAACCATGCAAGCGGCCGGGGGTGGGGGAGTGGGGGGTGGGGAGGGGCTCACGCCTGTAATCCTAGTACTCTGGGAGGCCGAGGCGGGGCGGATCATTTGAGCTCAGGAGTCTGACACCAGCCTGAGCAAGAGTGAGACCCCATCTCTACTAAAAAAAATAGAAAGAAATTAGTCAAACAACTAAAAATATACAGAAAAAATTAGCTGGACATGGTGGCATGTGCCTGTAGTCCCAGCTACCTGGGAGGCTGAGGCAGCAGGATTGTTGAGTCCAGGAGTTTGTGGTTGATGTGAGCTAGGCTGATGCCATGGCACTCTAGCCTGGGTAACAGAGTGAGACTCTGTCTCAAAAACAAACAAACAAACAAACAAACAAAAAATGCAAGGAAGAAGATAGTGAAGTGGAATATTTAATTGGTTGAAAAAAAAACCCACCAACTTAGAACTTTTTATTCAGCGAAATTGTCCTTCAAAAGTGACGGAGAAATAAAGACTTTCTGAGACAAACAAAAACTGAGAGAATTTGTTGCCAGTAGACGTGCCTTGCAAGAAATGTTAAAAGAAGCTCTTCAGAGAGACGGAAAACCATATAGGTCAGAAACTCAGGCATACATAAAGAAAGGAAAAACATAAGAGAAGGAAAAAGGAAAGGTAAAATACAATCTCTATTCTTATTATTCCTATCTAATTTAGCATATAAGTATTCAGAGTAATAATAGCAACTGTGTATTGGGTGATACTACCCTATAGATAAGTGAGATGAGTGGAAGCAATGTTATAAGGGATGGGAGGGAGAAATTGTAAATATTGTGTTATAAAGTACCTGCACTGCCCAAGAAACAATATATTGTTATTTCAAGTGAATTTAGATTAGTTGTAAATGTATATTGCAAACTCTAGGGCAACCACTAGAATGTTTTTTAAGAAGTATAAGTCATATGCTAAGAGAGGAAAAAAAACAGAATCATATAAAATGCTCAGTTAAAATCAATGAGGAGCTGGGCACAGTGGCACAAGCCTGTAGTCCCAGCTACTAGGGAGGTTGAGGCAGGAGGATTCTTTGAGCCCAGGAGTTTGAAGCTAGCCTATACAGCATAGTGAGATCCCATCTCTAAAAAAACCAACCAACCAACCAAACAAACAAACAAAAAAAAACAGAGGAAGAATGTTAAAAAAGGGAGAAGATTAAAAAAAAACAAAGAACAAAAGCAATGAACACAAAACAGTTGCAAACTCAGTCGATATTGATCCAATTATATCAATAATCACTTTAAATATGAATAGTCTAAACATATCAATTAAAAGACAGAAGGTGTCAGAGTGGATCAAAAAACAAGACCCAACTGTGTGACAAGAAACCCACATTAAATATAAAGACACAGATAGATTAAAAGTAAAGGAATAGAGAAAGATATATCATGCTGACATTAATCAAAAGAAAGCAGGAATAGCTATCTTAATTTCAGATAAAGAATAATTCAGAACAAAAAACTTTCTTTAACAGGAATAAGGGGCTCATTATATAATGATAAAGGGGTCAGTTTTCCAGGAAAACACAATAATCCTTAACCTGTACACACCTAACAACAGATCATTAAAATACATGAGGTAAAAACTGACAGAACTGCAAGAAAAATGGACAAATCAACAATTATAGCTGACTTTAATGCTCATCTATCAGTAACTGACAGATCCAGCAGGCAGAAAAATCAGTAAAGACATAGTTGAACGGAAGAACACATTAGTCAACTGGATTTAATTGACATTTATAGAATATTTCATCCAACAACAGCAAAATGCACATTCTTCTCAAGCTCATATGGAACATTCACGAAGATAGACCACATCCAGGGCCATAAAACACATCTGAACAAATTGAAAAGAATAGAAGTCACACAAGTATATTCTAACATCACAATGGAATTAAACTGGAAATCAGTAACAGAAAGGTAACTGGATTGCAAACTATGCATCTGACAAAGGATTAAAGTCCAGAATCTACAAGGAACTCAAATGATTCAAACAACAACAACAAAATAACTCATTAAAAAGTGGGCAATGAGCATGAGACATTTTTCAAAAAAATACATAGAAATGGCCAATAAACTTAAAAAAAAACCTCAACATCACTAATCATCAGAGAAATGCAAATTAAAATCACAAGGAGGCCGGGCGCTGTGGCTCACGCCTGTAATCCTAGCTCTTGGGAGGCCGAGGCGGGCGGATTGCTCAAGGTCAGGAGTTCGAAACCAGCCTGAGCAAGAGCGAGACCCCGTCTCTACTATAAATAGAAAGAAATTAATTGGCAACTGTATATATATATAAAAAATTAGCCGGCATGGTGGCGCATGCCTGTAGTCCCAGCTACCCGGGAGGCTGAGGCAGAAGGATCACTCGAGCCCAGGAGTTTGAGGTTGCTGTGAGCTAGGCTGATGCCACGGCACTCACTCTAGCCTGGGCAACAAAGCGAGACTCTGTCTCAAAAAAAAAAAAAAAAAAAAAAAAAAATCACAAGGAAACACCATCTTATACCAGTCAGAATGACTATTATTAAAAAGTAACACAAAACCAAAAAAACCCAAAAAACAAACAAACAACAAAAAAAAACCAGATGTTGGCCAGGATGCAGAAAAAAGGGAACACTTATATACTGTTGGTGGGAATGTAGATTAGTACAGCCTCTATGGAAAACAGTATGGGGTTGGGCGCAATGGTTCTCACCTGTAATCCTAACACTTTGAGAGGCTGGAGTGGGAAGATCACTTGAGCCCAGGAGTTCAAGACCAGCTTGAATAACATAATGAGACTCCATGTCTATAAAAAAATTTTTTTTTTTTTTTTGAGACAGAGTCTCACTTTGTTGCCAGGCTAGAGTGAGTGCCGTGGGCGTCAGCTAGCTCACAGCAACCTCAACTCCTGGGCTCAAGTTGATCCTCCTGCCTGCAGCCTCCCGAGTAGCTGGGGACTACAGCGGATGCACCCATGCCCAGCTAATTTTTTCTATATATATTAGTTGCCAATTAATTTCTTTCTATTTATAGTAGAGACGGGGTCTCGCTCTTGCTCAGGTTGGTTTCGAACTCCTGAGCTCAAACGATCCGCCCACCTCGGCCTCCCAGAGAGCTAGGATTACAGGCGTGAGCCACCGCGCCTGGCCCAAAAAATTTTTTAATTAGCTGAGTGTGAATATGCATGGATGAGTTGCATGGCCATATAGTTCCACTACTCAGGAGGCTGACGGCGGAGGATCACCTGAGCCCAGGAATTTGAGGTTGCAGTGAGCTATGGTGATGCTACTGCACGCTAGCCTGGGCAACAGAGTGAGACACTGTCTCAAAAAAAATAACAAACAAAAAAACACACCACCAAAAACAAACAAACAAACAAAGCAAAACCAAACAAATAAAAACCAATATGGAGATTTTTCAAAGAACTAAAAATACAGCTACCAATTTGATCCAGCGATCTCACTACTGGGTATTTACCAAAAGGAAAAGAAATCATTATATCAAAAAGATACCTGCACTTGTATGTTTATTGTAGCACTGTTCACAACAGCTAAGAAATGGAATCAACCTAAGTGGTTGGATGATTGGATAAAGAAAATGTGGCATATGTACACCATAGAATACTACTCAGCCGGCCGGGCATGGTGGCTCATGCCTGTAATCCTAGCACTCTGGGAGGCCGAGGCGGGTTGATTTCTCGAGGTCAGGAGTTCGAAACCAGCCTAAGCAAGAGCAAGACCCCGTCTCTACTATAAATAGAAATTAATTGGCCAACTAATATATATAGAAAAAATTAGCTGGGCATGGTGGCGCATGCCTGTAGTCCCAGCTACTTGGGAGGCTGAGGCAGGAGGATTGCTTGAGCCCAGGAGATTGAGGTTGCTGTGAGCTAGGCTGATGCCACAGCACTCACTCTAGCCTGGGCAACAAAGCGAGACTCTTGTCTCTAAAAAAAAAA